GCTCAAACTGACCTTGCGGTCAAATTATACTGCAACACCACACAAGGACTCATTTTTTTCCCTTAAAGTCCTTCAATACTGCAAATCAAGATGAGATGTTCATTTCCTTAAACCTGAGAAATGCTGAGTGTATTCTTCCCTTTTGGTGTTCTAACTCTAGGTCTTGGCACAAAGTACTTTACTTTGTCTTCTAAAGTTTCCCTTTGAAATGTTCTCTTCAGCTCTTATACTTCATCATTTCTTTCAATCACTTTAGCTTCTGTATGTTCAAGAGTAAGCTTCAGAGTGTCTTCTGACACACATTCTGGTCTTTTCCTTCTTATCTTTTTAATGACCTTTGACTTTCTTTATGTATGATATTCTTGATGCAATCCCACAACTCTTCCAATTTTTGGTCATTGTGTCAAATCTGTCCTTGAGATGGTTTCTAAATTCAGTTGGGATTATGGTCCAATGTTTATCCTAGAGCATCACAACAGGATTCTGAAGAAGTTTGTAGAATTCTTCTGTTTTATTATCTTTAGCTTTAGTGGTTGGTGTGTAAATTTGAGTAACACTGGTATTAACTGGTCTTCTATGGTTTTGGGGTTTTTTTTTTTTTTTTTTTTTTTTTTTTTTTGTTAAGTGCTGTCAAGTCTGTTCTGAATCATAGCAACCCTATATAGGGTGTCAGAGGCTTTAAATCTTTACACGAGCAGGAAGGTTCATCTTTCTGCAGTGAAGCAAGCAGCTAGTGAGTTCAAACCAAGTGACCTTGTGGTTCATAGTACAGTGTAGTGTGCTTAACCATATTCCTGGACTTCCTTGAAGGCCTATGGATATTAACCTATCACAGGCAACATTATTACTTCAAGATAGATCTTGAATTGCTCTTTTTGAGGAAGAATGTGATGCCATTCCTCTCTTTGTTGTCATTTAAGCATAGTAAAACATGATTGTCCAATTCAAAATAGCCAACATCTGTGCATTTCTGCTCACTATTGCCTGAGATTATCAATCTTTCATTGTTGACTTCTGCTTTTCAAAGTTTCATACTTCATACATTCCACATTCTGATTATTAATGCATGTTTGTAGCTGTTTCCTCTTGTTTTGAGTTGTACCCCATTAGCAAATGAAGGTCACGGAAGCTTTGCTCTGTCTTGGTCCTTAAATTCTTCTCTACAGAGTCCTGGTGTAAAGCTGTAGGATAAGAACTGAACTGCTAACTTCAGGATCAATGGTTCAAACCAGTCTGGCACTCCTTGGAAACACTATAAAGGGTTGCTATGAATGGGATCCTACTGAAGGACACTTTGCAATAATAACTACTTTGAAACCCCCAGTCATATTTTGAGTGTCTTCCAACCTGAGGGGTCAGCTGTTGTCATATATCAGACAATGTTTCTGTGCTATTCACTAGGTTTTCACTGAGAAGTGGCCCACCTCTCCTTCTGCCTACTGTGGCTTAGTCTGGAAGCTCCACTGAAACCTGTCCACCAACAAATGGGTGACTCTGGTGGTATTTAAAATACCAGTGCCTAGTTGCCTGCTTCATATCAACATACAAACCACCACAGTATGACAAGCAGAGAGACAAATGAATGGTGCCTTTTTGGTTGTTGTTGTTGTTGTTGTTAAGTGCCGTTGAGTCGGTTCCGACCCATAGCGACCCTGTACAGGGTTTCCGAGGCTGTAAATCTTTACAGGAGCAGAATGCCTCATCTTTCTCCTGCGGAGCAGCTGGTAGTAGATACGGTAATTACCATGGTTTACACAGAAGGAAGGGTCCTGGTGTTACTGTAGAATAAGTACTGGACTGCTCACCACAAGGTCGATGGTTCAAACCTACCAGTCACTCTTTGGAAACCCTACACAGGGTTGCAATAAGTTGGAATCGACTCAATGGCACTTATAAACAACATCGTACAGTGGGAAACTAAAGGGGCTGGATTACTTTCCTGAAATTACAGGTGTCTCACATAAGAGAGCTGGGACTGAAACTCCAGCCGTACTTTTCTTTTTCTTTTATATACTACTTTGTTGTGTTTTCAGTGAACGTTTACATAGTGGTTTTGATTCCCAATTAACAATTGCTACACAAGTTGTTCAGTGACAATAGTTACGTTTCTCACAATGTGTGAACTTTCTCAATATTCTTCTTTTGCCTGTTAAACTTCTATTAATCTTGCATCCTTATGCCCTTATATTCTCATCTTTGTTTGAAAGCAGTTGTTGGCCATTTAATCTCTTATAGGTGATTTTTCAAAGGAGTACACTACTCATGGTTGACAATATTTTGTGAGCCACCCTGTTATTTAGTTAAGAGGTGATTCAGAGTCTAATATCAATTCAAGCTCTAAAGAGTATGTCAGGGCATTAGTCACGTGAAGTCCTCCATCTCAGCATGTCCTTTAAGTCTGGTTGCTTGGTTTTGCTATGACAAATTGAAGTTTTGTTCCATACTGTTCTCCTAGTCTAGCCATGTCCACCTAGTGTGTCCCTGAACCTTGCGTGTCCAGACTCTTTTTATCATATAATTTTTTATGGCATACAAACATAACCAAAACAAAAATATCTTATCTTGAAGGAAAGACTTTGACAGCTTTCCAAATATTTTGTTTTCAAATAATAATATAACTTTGGCTGCAGATATTAAGAAACACAGGGGAAAACATTTAACGGCTGGGACACTACTGGCTGTGATAACGTTTGTGTCAATTTACTGTGCCAGTTTTCTAGGTGGTTTGACAGTTGAGAAGTAGCTATCCCCATGATGTGACTTGATGTGATAAATCAATAATAAGATTTACGATGGGAGTCCTGGTGTGGCATTCTTAATTCAAAGGTTGACAGTTCACACCAGCAGCTCCTTTGAAACCCTATACAGGGTCTTTAACAACTGACTTAATCCCACCACCTATCTGATGCAATTTATGGGAGATTTCCAAGGGTATGGCAACACCTTTTATCTTAAAAGATAAAAGGAGAGAGACTTGAGCAGAATCCGGATGTGGCTCTATGGGTTAATGCCCTAGACTGCAAAGTCAGCTTGAACCACAAAGTCGGTGGTTCAAGCTCACCGGATGCTCCTTGGAAACCCTATACAGGGTTGGAACCGACTCAATGGCAGTTAACAACAACTACTGCTACCATCAAGATAAAAGAGGAAGATTGGAGATCTCCAAACAGTATTGGGCCTACAGATTCTGAAAGGAGATGAGGACCTTTACCAAGTACCAAGGAGGAGAAAAACTTTTCCCAAGAGTGGAACTTTGACTTTGGACCTCTAACCTCCTAAACTGTAAGAGAATGGCTGTCTGGTTGTTAGCGCCATCCACTTGTGGTATTTCTGTTATAGCAGCACCAGAGAACTCAGACACTGGCTAATAAGTAAAGACCAGATGCTCATTATGATCCTGATACTTTGACAATGATACTTTTGCTAGATATTGCTAGTCTATGATAAAGTTATATGTCGGTTAGTCTTAATGCCAATGAGGCCTTACAGTTTTAGAAAGAAAAAAATTGAAAATAATGGACCATGCCAACTAAATGTACTAGGGGAATCTGGAGACTACTTATATTTCACTTTCTGTGCAACCCATTCCATTTTAATTCTTTAAAGAAGAGTTTAGAATTTTCAGATTTGCAATGAAAAGATTTTTCTTATAGCAATTTTTCATAAATATATTTGCTGAAGATACCTGTGCCTTAGATTATTTGTTATATTTGGTTGTGCATATCAGATTAGCTTTACTTTTCTCTCTCCTCTTTTTTTTTTTTTTTTTTTTTGGCAAAAGGGTGGCCCTTGTGATCCCTGAAGCCTGAAAATGTTCTTCTCCAACTGATCTAAGGCTTTGAAGTTTTCCACATTTCCTGCGAGACCTTTCTGGGATGTGTCCCACTTTGTGCCTGAGCTTTTCTACTGCTTTGCTGACTTATTCCCTGCCCTAATTTTGATGCAGGAACACTTTTTATGTGAATCATATAAGAATAAATTTTGGGAAAGAGGAAAAAGGCTAAAACGCCGATAAAGCCCCTGCTTATGCAAAGCACACACACACTTATTCTTCATTTAATCACTTTTAGGAAGCACAGTACTTTACAACTGCAACTCAAAGTTAAAGAAAAAAAATCATTTCAATTCTTCTGGCATAATCACTCTCCATCCTTGTCACCTACCCGCTATGACTGAATGGTAAAAACATCTATATCTATACATCAGTATAGCTGAGACAGATGCAGAGTGAGTATTAGATTCCCTCTGTTGTATATCCCTTGTGACAGTGATTAGGGGCCCAGCTGCTAACCGACAGGTGGACAGTTCAAGGTTCAAACCCACCAGCTGCCTTGTGTGAGAACTATGTGACAGTCTGCTTCTGTAAAGCAGAAATTCTATGGGTCAGTACTACTCTCTCCTCTATGGTAATTATGAGTCACAATCAACTCCATGGCACTAGGCTTTGTTTGAGGTTTTTGGTTCATTCCCATGGCAGTCCTTTATTCCAAAGTATTAGGCCTTTTTAACGTTACAGTTTTGTGTGTATGGTTTTATCACAGCTAGATTCTTTTGTTACATAGTTTCCCAACCTTAAACACCATGGAATTTGGACCAGGTCTACTGACTCGATGGCACTAACAACAACAATGACAAAAATACTTTGTTGTGGGGTCTGTCCTATACATTGTAAGGTGTTGAGCAGTATCTCTGATTTCTACCTACTGGATGCCAATATCACCATCCCACCCCCAGTTGTGACAGCTGAAAACATGTCTCCAGATGTTGCCAAGTACGTCCTGAGTGACAAAATTGGCATCTATTGAGAACCACTGATCTACAGAATGACAATGTATTATAGAAATACAAAGAAAGAAGGAAGAACATATTTCTGACAAGAGTATTTTAAGATGCTTTAAGGTTTGCAGGAAGATCTTTACATTTAGATAATTTGAACAATTTTCCTGTCTAAGAGAAGTAGGAACCATAGCACTGCATTCATCATTTCAAACCTATTGATTTCACTCTATCTTGCTCTTCTTTTGATAGTCAGTCTGTAATAACCTCAGTTTCTTTTGAATCTCAGTCAGAACATCAATTTTCTGATCCAAAATGGCTAATAACTGGGAAATGCAAAAATCAACATCATATTTTACCCCATCATCTGGCTCTTGGATGTTCCTCGGCTTTTGCTTGGTCTCCTTCCGCAAAGTCATAGCATTCTCGATTGAAGAAGAGGATAATGTTTTAGTTTCTCCTTCAATCTCTTCTTTTTCTCTGTGTATACAAGGTATTTTCATTAATTCATCGCTTTGAAGGGACATTTCTGAAGTACTAATATGCTTGTCCAACATCTTTGGTGCCTCACTTCTTACGGGATAGAAGCTATGATAGTGGGACCTGACATTGAGAGTTAATTCTTTTACTCTGTTTGCATATTTTAAAGTGTTGAGAGTGTTTTCACAAGAGGCCATTCCCGGAGAGATAGTAGCAATCATACAAGTGGAAGAGTTCTGACCTATGAAGGAGTCCCGCAGAACCTGTGTGAGTTTGCTGGCTCTAAACGGAGTGTGAGGCCTATTCTGACCCAAAGCCCGGATGCATTCCTTGAGGGCCAGAAGACTCTTGTTAATCTCTGCCCCTTCTAGCTGTCTCTTCCGGTTGGTCTTGGCAGTGTCTGCTCCCCTTTCGTTCCCAGCTAAGTCAACGAGGGAAAGCTTGCCATGTAGTTCCTCTTGAGTCTTCAGGATAATCTGGAACACAGCATGGCTCCTGGAAGAGTGGGCGTTGACAGACGTCTGTCCAGAAGTCCTGCAGCTGTTCCCCAGTTCCACGAGGTTAAGAACGTCCTCTACACAACACACCTCCTGTTCTCGCAGCCCCACCACCTGCGTTTGTTGATTGCCATCTTCAAGGACTTGAAGTTTTTTCTTCCAGTTCAGTAAGTCATATACCTTGCCTCCATAAATCTCAAAAAATGTTCCATAGACTTTAAGATCAAGTTTTCCATAAGCAGGGTTTCTGAGCAAGGAGAAAACATCCTGCGCTACCAGGGCATAGATGCCTTTAGAGCAATCTTGGTCTGTGCCAAAGACGGCTCCACCCATGGTGTGTGTTTTCCCACTGCCTGTTTGCCCATAGGCAAAGCAAGTGGCCATGCCTTTCCGGAAGATGGATTCCACAAGCGGCCGAGCACTGAACTGGTACACTAACTCGTTGGAAGCGGTGTCATCGAAGGCATGGTCAAAGTAGAAGATTTGGTTCTCCAGGTAGCGGGTGAGGTCCACTTTCTGCTTTGATTCGTGTACTATGACTACATTGTTGGAGGGGATGGTAATGATATCCAGGTCCTTTTTGGTGGTCTCTTGCTGGTTGAGAGGCCGTTTCCTCACGCAGACGCAGATCCGGTGGTCTTCCAGGCACTCCGGGCCACACATCTTGCTGTTTTCTAGGCTCCTGCGATACTCTTCGATCATGCGCATGATCTCGCGGTTAGGGTTTCCTGTGTTGCCATCTTGGGCCAGTTGGGCTCGGATCTCCAGCAGGTGCCGCCTGCGTTCCTCCCTCTGCTTCTGCAATTTCTCAATTTCCCGCACGCAGGGTGACTTTTTCCATTTCATTAGGCAAGGGTTGCTAGGGATCCCCACAGCTGGGCTGTCCCCAGAGGACATTTCATTTTTCTGGGGGATCATTGCCATCCACCGTGTGTCCATACGCTGATCTCCAATGGCAGAAGGGGGCGCTAGAGACAACGGGGGAAACGGTCTCGACAGCATAGGGTGTTCAGCTGAGACCAGTGCAGGATTCAGTAGGAATATGGTCTCTAGGTCAATTTTCTTTCCCTTTTTGGCTTCTTTCTCTACCCACTCTACTGTGACCCAAGCATTTTCTCTGTTTATCTCCGTGATCACAGCAAGGTGGATCCGCCCGTCTCTGCGCTTGATCGCCACACAGATGCCCACTTGGATGTCTCCAAAGTGTGGCTTCAAGGGTTTCACCGTCAAGAGGCGCGGGGCTAGCTGGAGGCAGAACTTGCTGGTCATGGCAAGTGATGGAGGAATCAGGGCTCAGGAAGGTGGGTGGTACTCCCAGGGGCCCTTCGTGTTGGAGCAGCAGGACCGGAGCCCAAGCCAGCCTACAGCTCTGGGAGGACTGAGTGCAGCTCACCTTTTCAGCCTGCCTTCGTGAGCAGCACGCTTGCTGGAGCCAAGCACGTCACAAAGGGGTAGAGTGAAAGGGCATTAGGAACGCAATGCCTAACCCATACGGCACCAGGGCTCCTTTAGGTGAAGGAAAGGAGGAAGAAATCACATTGGTGACACTAAGGGCGAGGTGGGGGGAAAAGCAAAGGCAGCTGGAATTTAGAGTTTATTCTCTATCGGTTTAGTTCTAAGGGAAAGGGAGAAGAAGTGGGTTATTCTCTGGATCATGGTGAGAAGGTCCAAGGAACAGAAAATTCATGGGGCTTATGGGGTTGGAGTTTAATTTTTTTTTTTTCATGGACATTCTCTTGCCTAAGCTTTGGAAGCGTTCATTCTTCCCTGAAGTCTTGACCTGCATTCTCAAAACTTGAATGCTTTGGTTTGAAAACCGGTATATCTTACCTTAAACTTCAGCTCTCCAGAGATCAGTGAGAGCAAGGAACAGTTAGGCTTTATGAAAAAATCATGGGCTTTGAAATTCAGTAGGATCTTCCATTAGCTCCCCTTAAACCTGCCTCCTTCCCTATCCTTTTCATACACATTTAACAGACAACTTAGTTATTTGAATTTAATGGGATTTCTCATTGCAAAATCAAAATGAGTTGTATGTAGCAGGTCCTTGTGGTAATTTGCTAATATGGAACTTTGTTTGGTACAGCAGCTAGGTTTGCAAACACAAGATGTTCATCGCATTCCAAGTAGCTCTGACAGCAATAACGTGAGTTCTGTTGCACTATAGTCACCAACATTTTTGAGATTAGTTCAGTAATTACTGTTCGAAACTCCTTTAGTAATTACACTTCTGGCCTCATTATCCACAGTTTGGAGAGATATGGGAGATGTTTGTTGACAGGTAATTTATCCTACATCCCCTCCACATCCCAAACTATACATATGTCCTTCAGAAGTTGTTAAGGGGAGAAAAAGGTAGCTGAAACCATAATAGTCAAAATTATATTTTGAAGATATTAGAAAATTTTGTTGTGGGTCGATTTGCTTGGGCAGAAAAACATCTACTGCCAGATGGGCCAAGGGGAGGGTTAGATTAATATTTTATGTTCAACACCTACTCCCTTCAGCAAATCTGTCATACTACATAGTGTTTGGGCTGTAAGTTTGGTCAAAATTGCACTGACAGCTTCAAAGAAGCATGGAGCAACACAATTTCCTAACATCACTTCCAAGGACCAACAGACCAAGGACCAACGGACCAAGTCGGCACCAATTCATAGTGATCCTATGCTCAATAGAATGAAACTGCC